TCCATTTGAGCATGAATACTCAGGCAATTGCTGAGTGATAATACTAATTTTTCGTTTATAAGTGGGCTTTCGGGATTAACAATAAATTATATATATATATATATATAAGAGGTATTCAACCTAGGGTGACAAGGGGACCTGTAGTTGAATTTTCCCACAATGATATGAGTAGACATCACGTTTCGAATGAATTTCACATAACCTTGCTTTCCCGAAAGTTATTCTCATCCTCGACTAGGTCTTATCAACACCTCCAGTGGGGCTCGAACCATGACATTACAGCGTATAATCTCGACACATTAACCACTACGCCACATTGCCACGAGTGCCCTTGGTTTACATGACAGATATGAATTTCAATGAAGGCCAGGCATTTTTCCCATATCACATTCTGTGGTGGGATTGTCGATGAAGCAAAGTTGTATTTGCTATGGCAATAGACTGCGCCACTTATTTTTCGTTTATAAGTAGGCCTAAGCGAGGTCGAAAATGCAGTCCATTCCTCCCTAGGCGAGGACACATTCCAATGAAAATGTCATGTCTACTCAAAACACTGGAAAAATTAAACTACCAGTCCCTTTGTCTGAATATCCCTCATATATGTGATAATTCTAAATTAGAATAAAGACATATTCTCGCCTAAGGTCTGAATCGGGCCCCAAGCGGGCTCAGTGCTCATACATTTCAATAGCTAGCAGGCGTTAGCATATATTCCAATCTTGCGAGTATGCATGCTGTTTCCGCTATTTTGATTGATTCTCCTGTCTCTCTACTTTGGCGTAACTTCTTTTGTTGCCAGCGCCCTCACTGCCGGTGGCTCGAATAAATTTAATTAGTTTTTCACTCAAATTCCTCCTATAATAGTGCTTCTGTATGAACCTCCCGCCAACTGTGGCCCTCTTATTTTCCCTTTTTGTGCACGCCTACAATGGCTTATGAGAGCGAATTTGCCCAATCCTAGGCCGAGGGGAAAATGGCAATGAATCAGTCAGTGCCCAACTCAACTGCTTGAATGGAATACGAGAGAGGGCGACGAAGCCAGGCCTAGGCAACCCCATTGGGTTAGTGACTAGGCTGGTGTAAGATAATCTTTTCAGTCAGCCAAAATCTTTGTATACACTGCGCGGACTTTCCTCTCCCTTCTGCAAATGAGATGCACATTTACTTTTGTCTCCATGTCTCACTAACCAGTTCCGTCCGGAAGTCCGAACTGCTGGCTCTTCGAACTACTTCTTTGTTATACTCACCTGGTATATACCATTTTTAGCCGTTTCGATATTCACTCTTCTTCACATGTCCTCGCATTTACTTGAACGGACCAAGAATAAAATGAGATGGCCCGAGGCATTCCCGCTGGGGCTATGTCAAATTGTTTGATCTAAGCCAGTGGTTCCCAAACTTTTCCTAGTCGCGGCGCCCTTTTTCAATTAAAATTTTTCCATGGCGCCCTGCCCTAAGTATGACTATTCGTAAGTAAGAGATACAAATAAATAAAACTCGTGTTTATTCATTATTTTTTTTACTTTATTAACATTAAATTAATATTTAATAATTATTGTGATGGATGAGCCTGCAAATCACTGCACATTTTCTCAAATTGAAGCTTATACAATATTTGGCGGCGCACCGGGGCGCCGCGGCGCACAGTTTGAGAATCACTGATCTAAGCTATTAAATTCTGAGGCCGAATATCGTCGAGAATGGCCGGCTTGTCGGTCTCTGATAGCAGCCCTCTTACTAGATGCTTATCGTATCTTCTCCATGTGCACAATTGAACAATTTATTTGCGCCTTCACAAACTAGTAAATGATAAGCCTCTTTTGACGAAAGCAATTGTCGTGCGGTTGAAAAAGGGAAACCCATCCAGATGAGGGACTCTGTAGCATAAACAGATCTCTATGTAAACCCAAAGGAGAAGAGCTAAAAATGTTTTTCACTTTTAATGAACCAAGACGACCCAGGGAGTAGCTTACAATTGAACAGGCTTACGAGCGTCAAACCCATTAGAATACAGCATATGTCGTCAGACCACTGAATTGCGAAGTAAAACAAGGGATCCTCTGATTCCAATTTGAGCCAGCCACGTCATGATTCTCTGTAATTAAAACGTAGATATGAAGACCAAGATGTTATGGCCTCTATTTTGATCGCAGGCTTCTTTATATGTATAGACGTAATTTGACCTCGTTTTCCCAACTTGGTCGTTTCTTTTGAGTATCTACCATGTCCACGGTCCAATGCTGTGAATTACAATAGTTTCCAATGGACAGGACTTCGGACGAGGTGAGTCCAACTAGATCGCCTTGACAACACAGCCAAGTTGTGAAAACGAGGTCAGACCACTTTCGAATGTTCATTTATACTGAGTGTGACTTATTATGACATATTTTGTCCTGAAAGCCATATTTGTCCTGTAGTCCACTGAGTTGTCTCTTAAGCCGAACAGTCAGGGTTTAAATCGCTTTGGTGATACCGAGGAGACGATGGAATGAGGTGGAAACTGGAGTCCAATATTGATGAGGACCGACTTTTGGATTCAAATCACAGCAAATCTCAATGCGAAATCAAGCCCTAACTTCAATAGATTATGAAGCTAGTGTATCTTGGCGACATCACTTTGGTTATTCACCAAAACCAAAAGTTATAAGACTTCTTCTACACACCATGTGATATCGAATTATAGTTAGGACAATTAAGCATTTTGACTCTTCCTACTCGAGACTGATCAAGGTAGTGATTCCATAGGGAATACACGATAGTGGGGCAAGAAATAATACATTGGCCCATGAATAATGCACAAATCTTGATAATAGGTCTCAGATAGGCTCACTGATTGTTACACAGTAACGAAGGCTTCAGAGCACATTAACACTACTTTAACATTCATAGTTAGTAGGCCTCGAGACTACCTGAACAGGGCTGTTGTGTTTTGTTCACTCAGAATAAAGCTATATACAGCATTAGCAAAAGGAACCATCGACAAGATGGACTTTTGTTGGGCTATCGACAAAGTATGACATATCTATAAAGAGCTACACTATGATATATATAATAGGGATGAATATTTGATGAGTCTAGTTGCCGGGGCAGAAGGATAGGCTTTCACAATTTGCCTAAAACGGCTCCATCCAACAAGCAAAGCTTAGACTCTTAATGGTTATGGACTGAGAAGACAAGTGACCAAGGTTTAGGTCCTATCTAGCCAAAAGGTGGCTTAGCCCTGCAGCCAGTTCTTCAGTAGGGTTTTAAGTTACCATGGTGTCCAGAGACTCTGCTAATCAAGACTAAGAGAATATGGTCACACTTCACCGGTAGCTCTTACTATTCCCTCGGGAGACGGGAGCCAGTTTGGCTGTGTACGCCTTTGCGGGAATCAGCGCGTACTAGCTGTACCAATTCGGCTTCCAGAAAAGTACCAGGGTGACAAACTGACTTCATATAAATTGCCCGTAAACCAGGATTCATGTGCACAATGCCACTATTTCGAGCTGTCTTGTATGGGTGTATTGAGGGTGAACTTCAGGCCACCTGAAAACCAGTATACAACGAAAGCTGTCCCAGAGGAGTTCTATTATTCGGAAGACCATGTCCGAGGCGAGAGTCTACAGACACTTTCACCGGATCAGAGTCAACAAAACTGGTGCTGATGTTGATACTCATTTCCAGCTGTAATGATGGCTCACCTCCACCGTCGTTGGAGTAAGAAGCCCAAAGCTGACCACAGAAAGTGAAATGATATAGTAATGGGAGGCAGCAGCAGAGTTGACGGGGTCTGCTCTTCGGCCTTGAGAATCCGGAGTAATCACGATATAAATTGTATAAATGAATATATGAATTCTGAACTGTATCGGCTTGGCGTCAACTTCCAGAAGGGGGCATAATTACTTTTGTGGGAGGCAAATATTAAAAGTAACCATGATACAAACAGAGGTTTTTAAGAACTATCTCCTATTGTGCATAGAGGTAACTTTTGGCCGAAATATGACGGAGTGACTTCAATGCTGAAGTACAACGCATGAAGTAGTGGGTTGGTTAAGACAGTAAAATTCTTCAGGGATTGAATCCAGGAGCATAGGCACTTGAACCGAACTAGCCTGCATTCTTACTATCCTAGTTCCTTATTTTGGTTATATAGCCTGCAAGCATGCACAGATGACTTATCGCCGCCTTGAAGGCCTACAAGTCGACAATGGCAACAATGCTGAGCAACCGAATTCAGCACGAACTCGTATTTGTTAAGAATCATTTAATGATTTTCCGATGAGTCTTTTAGCGAAGAGTAAAGTTGCTCACACAAGTTGCTAAGTACACAGCAAGCTACCAACGACTTGTAGCCAACATTCTCCTTTCATAAAGTTGGCCTGATTGGGCTTTTGTAACTTTATCGACTTTTCTGTAACTTATACCATTCACTGTCCCAGATGCCTTGATAATCGGGTACATACTAGACAATTCGCCCAAGCCTTGGTCAGCCCATCAGTGAACACCGGCGGCTTTAGCAGCTGACCACAATTCGCCAAAGGATCAAATAGAAACTATATTCTTGTCTGGCTTGTTATAAATGATGGAAGACCACATGACCCCATCTACTTACATACAGTCACAGCCAGGCCCTTTGGATTGGTCCTGAAATCACGGCCAAATTGCCAAAATTGAGGTCAAATCAACTCTATGCATCTAAAGAAGATGATAACCCAACCAAACGCTGGACTATTTTGGCCTTCAAATAATCATATTCGTTTAAAGTAGGCTTCGTAACTATCAGAAAATCTTGAATAAGAATTTCAGTCACTCTTGGTCGCATGAAGTAATGAAGAAGTGATAGATGAATTTCCCCACAGTTGTGTGAGTAGGTCTTACATTTCTGATGAATTTCACTTGCCCAAAAGGCCTCGCTTCTGTCTCATCCGCACCCCCAGCCGGGCTCGAACCTGGATAGTGCAGTCCACCCTGGATGAGAATATCCTTTGGAAAGCAAGGTCAAGTGAAATTCAATTGAAACGTGAGGTCTAGTCATATCTTTATGGAAAAATTCAACTATCAGTCCTTCCTCAACTTATGCAACATGGAGTGAAGGGAAATGTTGCTCAGAATACTCGCACCACCATCGCCACAACTCAGAGTCTGGTTGCATCGCTGCAATACTCGATGATTATAAAAATATAAATGAAAGAAGTAAAGTTTCGCTACTACTGCTGCTTCATCTCAGTAGATTGAGGTGGTTTGTCCGATTTTATGCTCAAAACCTATTTTGTCAAAGATCCCTGTATACTATAATCTAACTTACTTTATCGTAAACTTCTATATCTCAAATTAACCAAGCTGGATTTCACGTCTATACTTGGTAATGAGCTTTATTTTAATCTCATCCTTCCAGTAACATTATGCCTATTCTTGTCCTCTTTATTGCTAACTGACTGCATGAATCTCGATATATTTCTGAAGAGTATTTTCTAATGTGCTAAAATGTTGGCATACCTTTCATTTAATCAGAAGAAGCAAAATTGGCCTCATCGAATACTGGAGGGGGATTGCCTTGGAGTTGTGATTTTAGACTTTTGCAAATAAATCCCGGGCGCACCGTCCCGTGATCCCGCTGAATCTATGCTGGGCTTTCATCTGTCCTATGACTGGCATCTGTAGTGTATACAAAGAAAATGCCGGTTTAGAAGGATCTTCTGAGATACGATTGTTGTGAAGACTTTTACTTCCTATGGAAGTACATGAGGAAGAGATTCGTAGAGCACTTTCACCAAAAAACGTCGGCTGATTTGCGTTGTACTGCAGCCGATTGGCCTTAATACGATCGTTCGAGGCGAAGCAACCAACGTCTCCTGGTGAGAGTAGCTTACGAATCTCTTGATCATGTACTTCCATACGAAATGAAAGTCTTTACAACAATGCCAGCTTTAGAGCAGGAAACCATGCTATACGAAATTCACCTTTCTTGTCTTATGGCTCAGTGAATTTTCAAATAGCATGGTTTCCTTTTCTGACGATGTTTATCAAATGACAGATGAAATCTCAAAACGGATTCATCGGGGTCGCGGAAGCGAGCGCCGAGAAATTATTCGCAAAAGTCTACCATCGCCACTCCGAGCCAATGCTCCTTTTGCTTCTGGTGAAGCCAATTTATTGGTACGTCCCACTCGCTTTCTCAAACAAAATTAAGTTGCGCCAACTTCAATATGTTGGTGAAGTCTTCGAAAAAGCTCTTCTTCATATAATGTGTGAAATTGTTTGAGAATAAACAAATATTTGACTGTAATGAATAGAGTTGTCTATGCCTTGTGATCCCGTAGGCAATTTATACGCTAAGTAGCCCTACCCAGGAAACAATTTAAATGATTGGTGCCCATCTTCAACTAAATTGGTGAACACTTGTTTCGAGGTGAAAAGAGGGACCCAACCTCCTCCGAAAGCTTGTATCACTGCTTCGTCTGCGTCCTATCACAACAACTGGTATTCACTCTAGGTCGCATAAGATGACGAAAGAATGGTAGTTCAATTTTCCCATAATTGGATGAATATGCCTCGATGTAATTGAATTTTACTGGGCCTTGACTCACAAACGTCGCCTCATTATGAGAAAAAACTGGGTTTCAAGAATTCCTTTATGATATATTGTCAAATAACTTTCCATTTCTAAGGGTATGTTGGTTAAAAGGAATTCGTGATCTGGTCTCATTTGGAATTGGGCGAAGAAGTCCTCGACTAACCGTCCTGCGACCCTGATGGAACTGTGCTAAGCTTAAGTCTGTACTGCGACTGACATCATCAAAGCAGTTATCCATTCTTCACAAGATAGACCAAGGGAAATGGGACCGGTCGCAACCCTCGTCGCTTTTTTATATACCTAACTTTCGCGATCTTAATGTGGCAGCCCATGAGTTAGTTGGCCAATTAAGCCAATTAATGAGTCCCTTCCCTCCATCAGCGCATACAAAATGGAGGATCCAATGTGATGAAAGAATTGATGCAGTCTTCGAAACCCAGACTTTCTTCATATGTAACAAGATGAATATATAATGAAGTTAAGAAAAGTTTTTGTTCTGAATATATAGGGAGGTTAATTAAAAGCGTGAAAATAAAAAACGGCAGTTAATTTTGGAACTCATTAGGGTTTCGAGTTTAATGTCATGTCGTAGATGCCTATCGTTGCAAAATCCCCCCAAAAATGATGCCAATTTACAGGGGCATAATTTGCCATAAAACGTATGCTTGTCGTGTGATGCAT